TCGAAATGGAGCAGGGAAGAACTTACAAGTTGCAAGCTTGTGGCAGCCCTCGCTGTTGCGTTTCACGTCCAACCCCTCTCAAGCAAGCTTTCTTACTAATCATCTCTACCATTTTACAGGAGGCTTACGCCCCACTTACAGTTACCCTAGCCTCACTGCGTTTCTCGTCCAACCCCTCGCAAGCCCGTTTCGTCCTTATAAGCCCGGCCGCTGTACATGTCTTTGAATGTGTCTGTTACAGATTTTTATCGTCGAAGGGTTCCAAAAGCTAGTCCTTCTCCTTTTCTTTTTCCGATCCTGTGGTTCCTCCCCTCTTCTTTATTCAAATCGGTGCCTGATAGGGCTCATAGTCTTGAGTATGCGCCAGTCGCACGTCTTACTTGTATCGCTCCACCTCCACCTTCCAGAACTGCTCGCTCGGACAGCTTCCGCTCGCCCTCCACGCGCGCAACTTCAGCTTGCGCCTGAGCCTGGATGCGCGCAACTTCAGCTTACGGCCGAGCGATCTGCATCGCTGCCTTATCCTCGATGCGCGCAACTTCAGCTTTCGCCCGAGTCTCGTCAAAGGTCGAGACAGCGTAAGCCGTGGCACTAGCAGCTGCCACCACCACGCCAACAGCCGAGTAGTCTATGATGGACTGCTTTCTCCACTTGCCTCCACTCCCAGTGCCCGTCTCCGTGACGCCTGTCGAGAAGAACACCTCCTGCAGCACGCCTCCCCTCCCTGTTGGCGTGCATGTATGTGTTTGTGCGTGAGCACCCTGGCACAAAGTCTTGCCAGCACGACCAGGATTAAACTCATACAGCACAGAGAGGCAGACGGGACGGGAATGGATCATCATGTGGCAGTAGGCGGCCGTGTGCTCGCCGCTTGGACAGGGCACTTTATCCATTGAGGAATACTTTAGCATCCTTTTCTTCACTCGACGCCCATCTTGCCGTGCTTTTTCATAAATAAATCGAAAGTATCCATACAACTTGTAGTCCATCGGTCGCCGTCCAAAGAATCTCGAGGTTACCACGCTCATGCTCCCTGCTCAACCCAGCTTTCTCGGTGTGTACACCCGTGCACTGCCACCTCCTACCTTGCGGGGCATGCAGCGACTCTTCCCCCCCAACGCCGCCTTCTGGGAAGAGCACAGCGAATTGTGGCGCGATCAAGGTTACTTTTCCTACCTCTGGCCCTTGTTATCATCATCAAGGCTGTAGGCAGGGGTCCCACCCTCTCGTGCCCCCCGTCCCATTGCTATGGCATCAAGCCATACAGATCGAGGGTACATACAATCAATAAGAGGAATAGCACATACATCCTTCGAGATCCACTGCACGTTTGCCTTGATTCCCCTGTCTTGGGTTCAACTGCCACCTCAGTCACACAAGGTATACTGCTAGTGACCCCCCTACTCACAGAGTACCCTATCGACTAAGTCTGCCACGCATCTCTCTCTACTCCCGAACGAGAAACATTCCTCTCTCTTTTACCCTCTGTCTTTTACCCAATACCACAGTTTTAGCACTTGTCTCTGCCCTCCTGCATGCGGAGCGAGGCTGTGATCCGCGACCATAAATGACATTTCGATACTGCCTTCTTTGTCCTCTCCCCTTGAAACATGCATGCACTGCTGTGCGCTTTGCTTCTGTTGACTTTTCCCACCATCACCGACGCGCACCATGACTAGCGTCTGCCGCGAAAGCGAGAACGACGACGATATCAAGCAAGCAACACCTTCCCTAGCGCCTGCTTGTTGGCAACGCAAAGCGCTCCTTTTCATAGCTCCCTGCCCCCTACATCCACCACTCGCTACCCAGACAAGTTAGGAAGCGACGAGGGACAAAAGCATGCTTTGGAGCTTGGCAAGGAATGCTGGTGCCATGGCATGGAGAGGAGGCGTGCAGTTTCGTCGAGGTACGAACGTTAGCTTGCGTAATGCAAATTTTGGTGGGCTTGTCGGTGGGGGTGGGCGGAAGGGGCGTTGCGAGCACACGGCCGCCTACTGCCACATGATGATCCATTCCCGTCCCGTCTGCCTCTCTGTGCTGTATGAGTTTAATCCTGGTCGTGCTGGCAAGACTTTGTGCCAGGGTGCTCACGCACAAACACATACATGCACGCCAACAGGGAGGGGAGGCGTGCTGCAGGAGGTGTTCTTCTCGACAGGCGTCACGGAGACGGGCACTGGGAGTGGAGGCAAGTGGAGAAAGCAGTCCATCATAGACTACTCGGCTGTTGGCGTGGTGGTGGCAGCTGCTAGTGCCACGGCTTACGCTGTCTCGACCTTTGACGAGACTCGGGCGAAAGCTGAAGTTGCGCGCATCGAGGATAAGGCAGCGATGCAGATCGCTCGGCCGTAAGCTGAAGTTGCGCGCATCCAGGCTCAGGCGCAAGCTGAAGTTGCGCGTATCCAGGATGAGGCAGCGACGGGAAACGCTCAGACGAAAGAAGTAGCTGCGCGCATCCAGGCTCAGGCGCAAGCTGAAGTTGCGCGCGTGGAGGGCGAGCGGAAGCTGTCCGAGCGAGCAGTTCTGGAAGGTGGAGGTGGAGCGATACAAGTAAGACGTGCGACTGGCGCATACTCAAGACTATGAGCCCTATCAGGCACCGATTTGAATAAAGAAGAGGGGAGGAACCACAGGATCGGAAAAAGAAAAGGAGAAGGACTAGCTTTTGGAACCCTTCGACGATAAAAATCTGTAACAGACACATTCAAAGACATGTACAGCGGCCGGGCTTATAAGGACGAAACGGGCTTGCGAGGGGTTGGACGAGAAACGCAGTGAGGCTAGGGTAACTGTAAGTGGGGCGTAAGCCTCCTGTAAAATGGTAGAGATGATTAGTAAGAAAGCTTGCTTGAGAGGGGTTGGACGTGAAACGCAACAGCGAGGGCTGCCACAAGCTTGCAACTTGTAAGTTCTGTTAGCGTTACGGTTAAACCCCTCTCAAGCAAGCTTACTAATCATCGGTACTATTTTACAGGAGGGTTACGCCCCACTTACAGTTACCCTAGCCTCACTGCGTTTCTCGTCCAACCCCTCGCAAGCCCGTTTCGTCCTTATAAGCCCGGCCGCTGTACATGTCTTTGGATGTGTCTGTTACAGATTTTTATCGCCGCAGGGTTCCAAAAAGCTAGTCCTTCTCCTTTTTCCGATCCTGTGGTTCCTCCCCTCTTCTTTATTGAAATCGCGGCCTGATAAGGCTCATAGTCTTGAGTATGCGCCAGTCGCACACGTCTTGCTTGTATCGCTCCACCTCCACCTTCCAGAACTGCTCAGACAGCTTCCGCTCGCCCTCCACGCGCGCAACTTCAGCTTACGCCTGAGCGATCTGTATCGCTGCCTTATCCTCGATGCGCGCAACTTCAGCTTTCGCCCGAGTCTCGTCAAAGGTCGAGACAGCGTAAGCCGTGGCACTAGCAGCTGCCACCACCACGCCAACAGCCGAGTAGTCTATGATGGACTGCTTTCTCCACCACTTTCTACCGCTCACCTTGTCCGCACGTGGACCTACCTCACTCTAGAAAATCTCTTGTACGGCTGTGGCAAATTTGATCCGATCAGCAGCACCGATATATTGAAGGAAAAGAGGTACGGTATGAGTTGAGGAGAGAGCACTATCGACTTAAAGTACAACCACCAATGCAATCGAGAAATGGAGTGTATGATAATATGTATCGTGGACATTTTTCCATAAAGTATTCAGAAATTTTCAAAGTAATGCGAAAAGAATTTTGTGAATAATTTGCGATGGCGTCATTCCACCGCACCATGTAATATTCCGTCGCGTCTTCTGATAATTTTCTATTTTTCCTTGCACATAAAATTTTACCCAGGAGCCTGATAAGTGTGATCAAGCCAGCGTGATTATTGGAAAGGGTAAACTTGGGGAAGCGCTGGTTCAGTGGGGGGGTATGGGAGTAGACGATCTGCTTCTCGGGCGTGACGACTGTTTACCCACCGTCTTGACTGTCTCCAATGGCTGTGCCTTGAATATGTTTCCTATCG